AGAGAAGGGGAGGCGGGAGGCACAACCCTGAGTTTGTTCGATCCGGCTCCCTCTCAAACCCACGGGGAATAGCTCCCACTCAACGCCAGATTTGGGATTTGGGATTGCTCTGAGGGCTGTCTCGGAAGCTGCAGAGTAACAATACCGGAGGGTCACCAACCACGAGGCATTTTTATTTATTTTTCAGTGATGGATTTTTTACAAAGAAAGCCACCCTGAGAACTCCACCACAAAAGCCAACAGCGCTTCCTCACTACCTCCTACGAGTCAGGAGACTTGCCTGGGGGACAGATTACCCAACAGCTGCCTGTTGTAAGGCTCCCTGCATCTTCCTTTGAAGCACCTCCTTGGAGACAAAGATGCTGGCCTCCATGGTCCACGGTTTTGACTCAGTCTAACAATTCCGATGGTCCAGCTTAATGGTGGTATTTGAACCATCTCCTCGCCAGTGTCTGCAAAAAGAAATCCAGACCTTCGGGAAGGGATCTAAATGAGACTCATCTTTCAGCCTCATACTCACCAGCATAAAAGGGGCCACGAGAGGGCCTGAAACATAATTAATACAAAGGGTGGGTCAGGACAGACACAGCAGAAGACTCACCGGAACTCAGATGTGAAGAAGGAAGGAAATTGGAAAGCAAGCGGGGAGAGGACAGGAGAAGAGAGTGGGAAGAAGTATGGGCTGGAGCAAAGGGAGAGAAGGAAGCCAGAGTGCAGTCCAGGAGCATGGGATGAGAGGAAGGCAGGAGAAGGGAAACTATGGAACCAGAGCCAGCGTTAGCAGAGACAGTGGACGGAGGCTGAAAGGGAGAGGTTGGTGGGGGGCAGAGGAAATGATCTTTCGATTGAAGAAGATGGCATGTTCTTGAGCAGAGAAAGAAGAGATGGCGCAGGGGCACATGAGGAAGGAGGGATGTGGTGAGGAAGCAGGACAGAAACGTGGCACGGGGAGTCACGCAGGGCACTGACGGACGAGAATCTTAGACTTGATTTGGGAGGTGACGAAGACCCAGTGGTGGGACTCAAAGGAGGGGAGCGGCATGGTCTGCATCCCTGTAAGTACACAAAAGATAGAGAGTCCTCTGGCATAGACGGGGGAGGAGGAGAGGGGCTTTACTTTTGACTGCACATCAGCAAATGGGTACTGTCCTGTACAGAGGTAGCAGCAAGCCCCCGAGTCATCCAGCAGGCCTGAGGAGGGTGCAGGAAGCTGCCCTGGCAGCAGTAAACGAGAAGCCAC